TCCAAACTGTCTCTCTGCAGCTCTATTTCCAGGCTCTTTTGCATAACTGATTACATTCAGTTTGAATTTTGCAGAGTAAGACATTCACTCATTTATTTTTGTATTTTCCGACATCTTTATGGGCTCAGAATGCTCTGACGTTACCGGTCCACTGCCTACACGCTCTCCGCTTCCAACGGGATGTGTTCCAATTGGTTTGTTCTGCTGATGTCAGTTACATAAGGCTCGTGATTGGAGGAAGCCTGTTTGCAGAGACAAAGTATGGGCAGTTTCACAACCACGCGGTTCTCTCCTCGGCTTACGTCCTTGCATAAGACGCCCTTCAATTTTTAGTGTAACGAATTTAGAAAAAAGTATTGTCTTATGCACGGAAAAATACAGTACATGGCTGTCACAACAGAACTTTATATGAGATTCCTAATAACTGAAGTTCATTTTGCATCCATGCTGAGAATGCTGTAACCCAAGTTTCAGTTCTTCCCAAATAATAGATATATGCACAATTCTGTTTTAATATGATTCATATTATTATAACTTGCTGCATTGAGCTTATGGTTTTGCTGTGACTTTTTTTCTTTTTGTAGCAAAAATAATATCACCCTTTTAGCTGGGTGGTTGAATTAAATGAACCCAAACATTTCTTTATATAGAAGTATCATGGTCTTGGGCTACTTAGTGGAGGAAGGTTAAATAAAAGATTTTTAAAATCTGTCAGTCAGGACTTTCCTGTAAGGAAGATGGGAATGTCACATTGTCTTTAACTGCTGTGTTAGCAAAAATAAGACAAAATATTGTCATCTTTGCTTCTCAATTCAGGTTCAAAAATATTGTTAGCATCAATAGTCATATGATACATGTCCTGTATAATAAAAAGCACATGGCTAGATTTCACTCTTTTTATTTCCTCCTCTTCCCTAATGAAGAATTTTGGCAAACAGTTTCCCCTCTACTTTTTTTGGCATTTTGGTTGGTCCTGTTAAAGGCAGGGGTATGCATCCTCTTAAAGATCTTGCATAATACTTTTTTTTTTTTTTTAATTCCTGACTACTGTCTGTGCTTTTGGCCCAGTCACTCTCTCTCAGTCCAATCCACCTCACAGGGTTGTTGTTATGGGGAAATAGGAGGCAGGAATATTATGTATGCTCGCTGCTTTGAGTTATATATATATTAAAAAGGCAGGATAAAATAACAACAACAACAACAACAACAACAACATGGATTTATGGGAATTTCATTTCAAGAATCTTTAGGAAAAAAACAGTTTTTTTTACTTAATTAGTCCTTAAATTGACTAATATAGCTATTCTTTTCTTAAGCATGACCTAACATATATAAACTAGGTTTCGACTGTTATCTACAAGCAGCTATGATTAAGGAATCAAAACTGCCACCCCAGTGGCTTGGCTGAAGCCTTTGGGTTAATAATGGTTTGATTTACTTGACAGTTTCTGTAGCAGTTAGTATATTCAGTAAGAACATTAATTATTTTCCACCCTCTGGTGGCTGAATGTGGAGCCACATTCAAATGCTGTTGGGAAACAATTCCCTGATTATCAAAGACTGTGATTTGGTGGAGCAAACAAAATAACAAGGGATTCCAAGGAAGGAATAAAAAGGCAGAAAAATGTAACTTCTAACTTCTATGAATTGGGAGAGAAAAAAACTGTGATTTTTGTTAAGCCTGACAGAAAATAAGAGTTGTACCAGAATATCTTTCTCCTGCAATCTTGGAGCACTAGAAGGGAAACATTATAAATCTTATGATGTCAGTCATAGTTTCATGTTTCCTAACTTTGTTTAAAATCAAATGGGCTTTAATATGACATCATGGAGACAGAGAAAGGATGCTCAAATAAATCCATATTCAGTTGGTTGCATTCACCAGATGTCCACACTCACATTCACAGTCGATCACATTCGAAGTCAGGATTTTGGGGCCAGTTATCAAAAACAACAAAATACCCTTTTCTATTTACTGGGGGAGGAGTATTAGGATGACTCCCCACCCCAGAATCAGAATGCAGAGCAGGCTGAGCATCTATTGCACCCTTCTCTTCTCCATGAGAAGGAGAGCTGTCCAGTTTCTGCTTGAGAATCTTGAACTGTTTGAGCTTCACGGGATCCTTGATCTCTTTAGCAAAGTGGAACAAGACAGCGATGTCCTTTCGGAATTTGGAGCTCATCCCAAAGTAAATGATAGGGTTATAGAAGCTGGCTGATTTTGCAAAAAGGCTGGCAAAGATGCTGGTCAGGTTGGGTACAGGGCAACCACTTGCAGACCACATGGAAATGACGGCATACGGGGACCAGGCAGCAATAAAACACGTGCAAACAACAAGGGAGACCTAGATGAGAGAAAAGGTAAGAATGAGACTTGCTGGTTTCCATTTCCAAGCCGAACAGCTTAGTCAGTTTAGATTTACTGAACTTCATAAAGGTGTTATATTAGAAATAACAGACAGGGACCCTGGGGGGAGATCCAGCTTCTGCTCTGCGTATTATCAGCTAGCCATTCAGAAGCAAAATAACTTGTAGAGGAAACAGAGTGGCACAGCACTTCCTGCAGTCCAGGAATGGCTGATTCTTGGTCTGGATCTAGTTTTGGGTATTGAGATGATGTTGGTGTCTAGGAGTGTTTTTGTTTTTGTTTAAATTGGCCTAAACTGAAATACCAGCGGTGCCTTTTTGGGAGATTGATCTGGTCATAGCCGTATCTATCTTGGTTATTTCCAGCTTGAACTAGTGTAAGTCTTTCTCTGTGAAGGTCCCCTTAAAAAAGTGTTTAGAAACTTGGGTTGTTCCAAAATGCTTCCACTTAAAGATATGGATTCTAACCAATATGCTGAAGGGTAAAACTTCAGTTTCATATAGTTTTCATTGCTTAACTAATTGTTTCCAGACTCAAAATAAGGTACAATTCCTTCACGTGAAACACTAAAGGCCTTGAACCTATGCATGTAGAGGGCCATGTGCTTCTTCCATAGATAGTCAAGCGCCACGTTTGATGGATAGCTGTGGATGCCAAGGTCTTACCTGTCAGGCATAATAGCACTGGCATTATTTCCTACTAAGGAAATACCAGTTTCACCTTATTGTGTAGCTATTCCTACTATATAAAATATAAAGTAGTTGATTTTTGTTCTAATAGCTACTGTATATACTGGTTGCTGTTCTGTTTTTGTTCTTGTTTTTTTGCTGCTCGGGGGCTGGATTTAGAGCTTTTAGTATTGCTGTTGTCTATTTGCTATTGAATTGTGCTTTGATTATTTATCTGTTTCTTTCACTTTCATTGGAAGGAAAAGTAAAATAATCTCAATAATTATAAACCCAATCAGGTAAGGGAAATCTGTCTTAGAAAAGGGTCTTGCTGCAACTGATGGAGAAAGAGATTGAGTACCGGAGGCTCATTTCGCCACACGTTCCCCCAGGGGCACAGAACTGGCCAGTGTCTTTTTCTGATGCTTCCAGACAACCTGGTTGTGGGTATGAGTGAGTCACAATTACAGCTGGATTTTAATCAGTGTCTGCATCATGCTCCTGATCTTATCTGATTTGGGGTGGGCATCAGACCCTCAAATAATACTTCAAATACTGGAGTTCCCACTCAACTATGCATGTATGTGGTATGACTATCCATGAGTGTGTGGGTATGGGTTAAACAAAAAGCCCTTAAAAGGACTGATATTCTACAATCAGTTGTTCCATGAAGAACTCACTGCATTCCCTCCAGACAACTAAATGGTGGTATTTCACTGCTCTTTTTTTTTAAAAAAGGGTTCCGTGTGCACAGTCAGGCCAGGGAAGAAACTGAAGGTAAAGAACCTCTCTGTGGCTGCATTTCTTCATTTTGCCAGGAACATACATGTGTTTGTGACTTGTTTTCATGGCCATAAGGCCACCATCTCAATAAGAATGTATGTGGTTTAAATTCTGGGTGCCACATTATTATAGTGGCTGATGCTAGCTATGTCTTTTGGTAGAAAGAGCTGAGCATCAGGGAGGTTGTGAAACACTTGAACCGAGGCTTGGACGTAACTTTGGTATAGATGACAGTTGGGAAGAATCCAGTCAAGAGAGAGGTGCTTCCCCATTCTGGGTAGAAATTTACAGCTGGTCTTAGATGAGATTCTAACCCTCCGGAGGGTGTGCAACATGGAAGTTCTTCTGAACTCATTGCTAGCAGGGAAAGCTCAGGAGCTGCTATTAGCCACCAGCAAGAAGTCTTTTTTTAACTGTTGTGGCTCTTTGCTATCTAGGAATTCATGATAAACAGGCAAATTAAATGGTACACCGTGCCATGCTGCCTTTACAGACAATTTGGAAACTTTCTTTGTCGCAAAATGCAGCTGCTGAAGTATTCCTGTAATTGTGTTGGTTGCCACAGTGTCTCTGAGCCCAATTTAAAATGCTGGCTTTAACTTTAAAGCCATAGGATTTGTTACTTGCAAGAGAATTTTTGCCTAGCCAGCCTGTCTCCACTTAATTTCTGCAGTTCTTTCTCATGTGTCTGGCTGTGAGAGAATACAAGGTGGCAAAAACAAGTGAGAAGGACTTTTTCTCATTCTTTCTAACTCAACAGAATGCTAGAAAGAAATATATAAAGGAGTTTGGGACCCCGTCATGGTCTGTCAGCAGGATAATTCTCCCAAAACAGAATAGGACCAAATTTGGTGTAGGGGAAAAAGCCAGCGTAAGAAAATTTAAGTTCAAAAAATGGCCTGGATCTGGCTTGGGGCTACAGAGAAAAACATTCTCTGGCAGCATCTCTTTGAGAGACTCAGTTGGCAGGACTTGGAATGCTTTCAGCCACTCCATTCCTAAGCCTCCTGCCCTCCTGGTCAAGTGACTCAGGGTAGGACCGCTATTGTTTATTTATGAAATGCACACAGCCGCCCATTAAAAATACAATTTAAACAGTTAAAAGCTATAATAAAAACACAGGAGAGTGCATTCTAAACTAAACACACTACAACCGTTTCCCACCTTCTTAAGAGGTGGGAAAGAACCCTAGGAGTCAGCGCTAGCTCCAGGTTATATGGCGCTGCTAGACTACAGTGACCGATGGCGCCATCTCCTGCCAAGGAGAAGATTTGCATTTCTAGAATGATTCGGAAGGTGGGGCGGCATTGCTGCCCCCTAAGCTTTGGGGCCCTAAGCCAGAGCCTACTTGGTTTTAGCCTAAAGCCAGCTCTCCCAGAAACCATGCTCTACATCAGTGTTACTCAACCTTAGCAACTTTAAGACGTGTGGACTTCAACTCTCAGAATTCCCCCCCCCACCACGTCTTCGGTGGCTATTGGGCTTGGTGGAAATGCCCACCTCTTACATTGTTTAGGTTGGTGACACCTAGTGAAAATGAGGGGTTGTGGGGG